TCTGGCCTGGGGGACAGGGGTGGGGGATCAGCGGAGCAGTTCTGCTCCTTTCTGCAGCTGGGCCCAGTTGGTCACCTGCTCTCACCCCAAAGATCTTTAGGGCAGGAAGTGGGCAGGGCAGAGGTGCAAAACTGCAGCTGTCTATGGCAAGACTGCAACAGAACGAGCTTCCTCCTCCTGGCCTTGTTACCTTGATGAGTTCTGTCTTCTGGGTTTGGGCAACACAACAAGGCACTGAGAAGCCATAGAATAGACAGCTGCTTCTGTTTATGGTTTCTAAAGAGCAGACCATGCTGAAATGCCATGACTGTGTTTGGACAACATGACAGACCAACAGTCCCCCCACCCCCCCACTGTGGCTTGTCGTGTCATACAAGCCTGCCCACTGAACATTAGTTGTGATGGAGGTGAATGGAGGGAAGTGGGAAAGATCCTGAGCTCCATCTGGAGGGCCCTGAGCTTTAGTATTCTGGAGTAGGGAGTGGTGGAGTGGGGTGGGACTTGTATGGTGAAATTAAAAATAATTTCTTCCTGCCTTATACAGGGAAGTTACAGAATGAAGAAATCTGAAAAGTACAGCTTTCTTTTGCTACTCTTCCCAATCATTATCAATTTGTCCAAATTATTTTATTTAAAATATTTCATACAACTTTTCAAGACCTCCCAAAATGACTTACAACAAATATGAAGTGTAAAATAATAATTTCCGGAGCACAACAGAACACAATTTGGGAGAATACATTGAAACAACAACCTTTCCTTTTCACAGCCTTCTTTTATTTCTGTTCTCATGGAACCTCCCCTAAAAGCAAAGGTGTCCTTTAAGAATACCAAGCTTACACTTCTCCCTGCCTTAACTTGCCCAAAGGCTAGAAGAACGGCCAGCCTAAGGTTGTGCTTACTTATGTGCTGCATGATTTTTCAGGCATGAAATTGGTCCAATCCATTGCCATTTCTGCATTTAAGTTTTCCAAGTATTCTTTCAATTAATATCCCACATTACAAACACAAAAGAGGGGTGACTTCTTTCTGTAGTACTGCCCAGATTGCCAGGGCGATGAAAACCTTGAAATGATTTATTTATTTATTTTTCGATTTATATCCTGCCTTTTTCCTGCAAAGGGCTCAAGGCAGCTTACATCATTCTCCTCCTCCTCCATCTTATCCCCACAACAACAACCCTGTGAGGTAGGCTGGGCTGAGAGTCTGTGACTGGCCCAAAGTCACCCAGTGGGCTCCATGGCTGAGCGGGGACTCGAACCCGGATCGCCTGAGTCCCAGTCCCATGCTCTTAACCACTACACCACACTGGCTCTCAGTGATGGCTTCGCTTTCTGCATTACTTATGATGGCTTCGCTTTCTGCATTACTTATGTTTCCTTGTCTTTTTCTCTTTTTCTACTACTTTACTTGAGAAGGCAGGGTGGTGGCAGAGGCTGCTGGTGGTAAAACCACGCATTTGTCTGAGCCCAACCTCAGCTTCAGGCATTGCTGTCTTGTGCAAATTAATTAAATGCCAGCTTTAAAAAATTCAAGAACTTTAGGGCCTAGTGATGCCTGTTCACCCATCCTGCTGAGAGTAAGAAAGACTGCTTTGGATGCACTTTCTCAAGGGCTACTGGCTGGTCTCCAGCAGTAGCAATGTGGGTATGGGGGGCCTGGCTTGTGGGCCATTCCCAGATATTGAGATGAGAGACATGGAGGCTCCTATCTCAAGGCCAGATTCCCCAGGTGGGCAGGCAACCTCTGAGCATAACCAAGGTGTAAAGCCGGTAGAGGCAATTTGGAGCAGGGGAGTTTTTCAGACACAGATGAGGTGGAGACAACTTTTGACCCCATGACACATTGCCAGTAGAGGAAGGAAGCCCAATTAGAGGATTGGCATGCAGAGAGGAGGTGTGCTCACTTTCGTTACCCCCCTCCCCCCACCAAGGGATGGTGCTCAGACATGCTCATAGGGAGAATTCCTGGAGGTGAATCCTAGTTTGGGTTCAGTGAACTGCTCTGTGCATGCTCAGAGATTCATTCTGGGTGTTTGCACTTCTGGAAAAGTCTTTGGTCAATAAAAAACATTTTGCAAGAAATGTCTGGCATTTTGAAGGGAGGAATCCTAGCTCCCCGTAGCTTGAACCAATCCGCCTTTTCATTTCCTCCCTTCATACATTCCATGCCACAGCATGCACAGCAGCGCCACCCGCCACTCGGCCACTTGAAGCCTTTGGCTTGATCTTTCTTGTCTCTGAACTGCATGTTGCTGTTCACCCAGCAGCTCATCATAGCTGGTTTCCAGCCTACAGAACACTTGGCCCACCTGGTCCCATCACTTGCTATCACTTGTGCAATCCTTTCCTTTAGCATCCTTTGCTCATCTGAATAGCAGGAATAAATTATTGAGCGGTGTTGCAAGTGTTCATTATCATAGAATAGCAGAGTTGGAAGGGGCCTGTAAGTCCTTGTGTCTGTCTCCTGCTTGGTTCATCTAATTCTGAGTTCTTATAAACTTGGTCCATATTGACAAACATTTTCTCATCTTGCTTTTCTTCACCTTCTGACAGATTATGCCAGCTGGTCCCATCCCCATCTGCCACACTTGGATAGAATGTGAGAAAGAGATTTACGTCCTCACAATCAGGAACTCAGCTTGCACCAAAGTTCCAGATCACATGGACCTTTGCTACATGCAGAGCTCCTCCTCACATTCCAGCAGATGCATCCTGCCTGAAGTTGGGTCAGCAGCTGCAATTCCTTCCCCCTCCACCATGAACACATGGTAGGAAATATAAGAGGCATACTTAAGTCATGGTTTACTGAGAACTGCTTAACTATATGTTACGTTAAATATATAGCATGCAACTACTGCTCACAATTTGTTTTCCTTGAGGAAATCCATGGAGCTCTGCTCTGGATTGGGATGACCACACATAGATAGGGGAGTTTTAAACAACCTAGCTATTTCCATTCCCCCCCTCTCAAGATGCTAAACCCCCTCCATTGGTGTCAATGGGAAAGAAAGATTTGTTCACATCACTTTACAGCCATAGAGTAAAATCAACACAGGATTCTTGCCTGTGTTCATTTGTATTCATTTTGTTTCCTACCATTGGTCTTCTAGCCTGACATTTCATTGTCTTCAGCTTCTCAATATACCAAGCAGTTGATATGGTTCTACAGTTCATTAAGGAGCAATTCTGTTAATGATCAATGTCATCCCTTCATTCCAAGCAGAACCAAGGCCTTAGCAGGACAGCCAGCTAAATTTCTAAGGAAAACCCTAAGAAAGATCAGAAAGCCTATTCATTAGGCTTTCAGATACGACAATAAATGTGTCCTCCACAGGACTGTAGGGTGTTGATTCGTCTCTTTCATTCTAAATTAATTAACCTAGTGCAGTCTTACTATCACTCTAATAAACATAGACTATTCTCATCTGAATGAATCAAAGCATTATAGAATTCTACATCTACAATTCCTCACCCTCTGTTTTTGTTGCACAGCCTTATAAAAGTTTAAAAGTCATCCTCTATTTTAAGACAGAGCCTTGGCCAGAATGTCTCATTTGACCTAGGAATTAATCTTGACTTGTAAAGACTTTTCTTCCAAACTGAAGATGAAACAAAGGGAAGACATCAGTTCCATGTTTCATTCTCAAGCACTAAATGCTAAATCGCTTTTCAATCTAGAGCAATTTCCTTTTCTTCTGTTATTTGGTGATGGGGTAGAAACATCTTTTGAAAGAGAAATGAAAAGGTAGAAATTCAAGGTTGTTGTGCATTTCATTTATATACCGCCTCATAGCCAAAGTTCACTGGTAGGTTTACAACAGTACATTAAAAAAAAACTATCCAAATACCATAAAAACAAAACAACATTAAATGTATTTAAATTAATATAAAATAGCTTTAAAAGATGCAGCAAAAAACAAACAAACAAACAAACAAACAAAAACCATTCAAAGGAAAAGAATCGCCCCAATAATCCCCACAGGTCACTGGGTAACCAAGGAAATCTGTGAAGACTTCTGCATAGAGGGCTGTCTTGACCTGTTGCCAAAAAAACGGCAAGCCAAAAATGTTGCCAAGATTGGGGCCAGGCAGGCTGCAACAGAGAAGCAGTTCCACCGGTGGGGCGGCACCACAGAACAGCCCGCCCTTCTTGCCACCCTCTGAGCCTTCCATCAGTTGGGCAGTCAAGGGAAGGTCCCAGAAGCTGAGTGTACTGTCCGAGTAGCAGGGGAGGCACTCTGACAGGCACTGCAGTCGCACACGATGTAAGGCTTTAGAGGTTAAAACAAGCACCATGAATTGGGACCGAAAGCCAATGCAGATAGGCCAGAGCTGGTCTTATACGTTCAGATCTTTAAGTTCCAGTTATTAATCTGGCTGCCACATTCCACGTGAGCCGCAAATTTGGAAGTGTCTTCAAGGGCAGCCCCACACCGAGTGCATTGCAGTAATCTTACTGAGAGATTATTGGAGAGTGGATTACTGGAACCAGGCTATCCTGACTCAGAAGGTACTCTGAGTCACTGAGGCCACCTGAGACTCAAGTGACAAAGATGGAACAAGGGGCACCCCTAAACTATGAATCTGTTCCTTCAAGGGACAGTGCAAACCCATCTAGAGCAGGTTGAACACCTCCCATCCAGTCTGAGAAACCACCCACCAAAGGCATCTCCGTCTGGCCTGGCCTGAGTTTCATTTTGTTGGCCTGCATCCAGTTCATTGTCACAGCCAGGCACTGGTTCAGCACATCCACAGCCTCACTTGCTGACAATGAAATGGAGAACTAGAGCTGTGTGTCATCAGCATATTGATGGCAATACACTCCGAAACTCTAGATGACCCTGCTCAGCAGTTTTGGGTAAATGGTAAACAGCATGGGGGACAGGACAGACCCCTGGGGAGCTCCATGATGGAGAATCCATGAGGCTGAACAATGTTACCCAAGCACCACCCCCAAGTAGGAGCAGAACCACTGCAACACAGTACCCCGCCCCCACCCTCAGCCTAGAGAGTTGCCCCAGGAGGATACCATGGTAGATGGTACTGAGAGCTGCTGAGAGTTTCAGGAGTATCAACAGGGTCACTTCTCACCTCTCTTTATACTAGCATAGGTCCTTTTACATGGTGAACAAGGCTGTTTCTATGCCAAATCAGCCTGACCCCTGACTGAAATGGATCCAGACAATCAGTCTCATCAAAGAGTGCATGAAATTGATTGGTAATCACCACCTGAAGAACCTTGCCCAGGAAAGAGACATTTGCTACTTGCCTAAAGTTATTCACATCTGCCAAGTCAAGGGAGGGCTTTTTCAGAGGGGTCTCTTTAAGGCAGCCTGGAACTACTCTCTCCTCAAGGTGGCATTAATCACCTTCCTGGTCCAGCCACTTGTTCCATCCTTGCTGGCTTTTATAAGCTGGGAGGGGCAACAATCCAGTACAGAGGTGGTTGCACAAAACTGAGCTGTACCTACTGAAATTAACCCAAAAAGCTGGGCCAGATCCAATACCATGGACTAAATGCATTACCATGAATGTCTCCACAAATGCAGCTGCATTAACTCTGGAGCCTAAGTCCTGGCAGATACGAGGGATTTTTTCCTAGATGTGATCAGCAAATGAACTGGAGCAGGCTTCTGAAGATTCTAGGATGTCCTTTGGGCCAGCATGTAATAAACCCCAGACAATCTTGAAATGTTCCACTGGGCAGCAAATGGAAAAATGAACAGAGAGATGTTTTTCTTTGGCACACTCACTGCCTCCAAATACACTTGATTATAAGCTCACACCAGAGTTTGATTGCATCCACTGGGAGTTTTTCTTCATCTGCGTTCAAGCCACCTCCTAATTTGTTTCATTGCTGTTGGCTCCATATGAGCTCAGGAACAATCTTGACAACTGCCTGGGCCATTTATGTGTTCCAGGCAGGGCTTTGGTAGGAGCACCAGCCATATCAGGCAGGAAATCCCCCAGAACCCTCTGAAAACCATTCAGATCCATTAGCCTCTGGGGGCAGACTATCTTAATAGATCCCCACCCTTGCAGAGGGGAAAAGCTGCCATCACTCTAAATCTCAGCAGGCAGTGATCTGACCATGACAAAGGGCCAGTCAAAGTCCCCAACACTAATATCCGTTTGAAAAGCCCAAGTCTAGAGTATGCCCTGCTGCATGTGCCAGATCAATGACATGCAGGGACAGTCTAATGGTTGTCATGGCAGCCATGCAATCCTAAATGGCCCCAGATAGGGCAGCTTCAGCATGCATGTTAAAGTTTCCCAGGACCAACATCACATCTGAGCCCACTTCTGTTTGCTCAGGTAGGAAGACTGATGGGCGGCAGGGTGGGTGGTCCACCAGCGGAATCCTGGCCCAACACAAGATGCAAACCCTCCAGACTGGTTGTTGGATGGACAAGATACCTGGGGAGAGAGAGGGAGGGTGAGAATAAGAATAATTCTAGACTAGGGTGACCTACCCCCAAATCATCCTCAACCCCCAAATCTCCCCTGATGCTGAACCAAGAACCCCAATGGCCACAAATGGGGGAGGCTGTCTCCTCCCTGTTCACCAACTCCAGTCTCAGTTATACATGCCACTATATGCATCTGCTCTTAAAGGGATGTTGAGGGAGCTCTTACTCTGCAAAGCAGCATTCAGAAATCCAGTGGGGGGCTGACATGGCAACCATCACATCTGTGATTGGAAGGACCGGAACATGGCACAGCTGTAAGCTGCTTGGCCGTGTCCCCCTTACTTGTCCAGTCCTCCTCCCAATGCCCTATCTCCCTCTGTCCACCAATACACTGATTGGGACCCCCCTCTGGCCTCATAACTTCCTCCCAGGCAGTCTCATATATATGCCCACACAAGTATGTAAGAACCCAAGCAACAAGCACTTGTTATCTCGATCCTGGCTTGTGAAATTTGCCAGATTTTGCTGGGCTGTATATTTGGACCTCAGAGTTGGCTTACGCCTTCTCAAAAGGAGCAGTGTTGTCCTTGCTGTTTAAAAGGCAGCCGCAGTGATGCCTTGATGGAGGGCATAGGCTTTAGATCCAATGGCTTGTGGCAATTATCACCCTTTTTTCCATTCCCTAATTTGCCATTCCTGGGCATGATGTTGGAACATGTCATGACCTCCCAGCTGCAGGCAATGTTGGATGACGTGGACTATTAGGTTCTTTCCAACCCAGTTTCAGGCCTAGGCTTTGGCTGGAAGTAGACTTGATGGATGCCTTGCACCAGGCTATTCTGGAACTCTCACTAGTTTTCAGCTGCATCTTTCTGAAAAGGCACTTCAGGTTGGGCTTAGCAGGTATGCTGGCCCCAGTCCTTCCTGGAAGACTAGTCTCTGAAAATTGTTCTGAGGGACTCCATTAGCTTACATTGTGCCACAAGGTTCCCCACACTTTTTAAATTTCTGGATTAAATTGCTAGAGGAATTCATGTGGAGGTTTGGGCTGAAATGGTTAACACTGATTTCATATTAGGGAGCTGCAGAACTCTTGAGCCAAAATTGGATTTGCAGTGGATGAGAATATACAAGTTGGGGCTTAATGGATGGACTATAGGTAGGGAAATAACTGGATGGAGTTTTACAGCTGGTCTGAGATGGGATAGCTCTCTTTGAAGGACCAAATGTGCAGTTTGGGAATTCATATGCATGTGCCACTAATTGATGAGGTTTGTGCAGTGGTGGTGTTGGTCAGGAATTTTTCAGCAGCCTAGGCTGGTATGTCAACTGTGAAAGGTCAGATATTGCCTAAGTTATCCATGCACTACTGACATCCAACCGGATTTCTGGAATGTACTCCACCTGGCACTCGCTTTGAAGATGGCTCAGAACCTTCAGCTGGTGTAGAATGTTAGTGCCTGGATTAGGGGATAGACCATGTAGTGCCTATATAATGTAAATCACACTGGTTGCTAGTGGATTTGGGGGGCAAAACAAGGTGTTGGCATTCATGTGAAAGCTTTGAATGGTTTGGGTGAACAGCTGCCTTCACCCCTATCAGTGTGCCCACACTTTGAGGTCAGTTCCTGAGGTCCTTCTGAGTTGCCCACTTCAAAGAACAAGACTGTCAGGCACGAGACAGAGGGCATTTTCACCAGTGGCCCATTCTTGTTGAGCGCAGTGCTAATTGGGGTGCACCTGGGCTGCAACAGTGCAGGAACGTAAAGAGTTCTCCAGATCCAAGTGTTGTCATTGACTTTCCTCCAGAGGACTCTTATCGTGAAAGGCAATGTTTAAATATAAGCAAGAAAGAAAACAGGTGTCTGGAGTTATTTTGCCTGCAGCACATGGTGCTCACAGCCAGATCACACATCTAGGGCTGGAAGTGGGCCCTGCTGATCTGTGGGCATGCGCTTCTGTACCTACAGCCTGGAACAGCGGAATGCACTGGGGCAAGGGGTAGTTTTGCTTTGCTGAGGCTAAGCACAAAGGGGAGGAGGGTAGGGGCATCTCATGGTCATAGCAGGAATTACAAACAGGGGGCTTGATGCCAACAATGTGCTGATTCGGTTGGGTAAGTTGTCTGCATCAGAAAAGAGGGTAACTTTGCTGGGTGTGTTTATTTGTCTCTGCATTAACTTAGTTGTACGACTAATTCTTTTGAGTTATTAAATTTTTAGGCGAATCTTTGTGGTGCAGCAGTTGTCTGGTCAAAGCATTATATACTTTGAGCTGGATAAGAGCTGAACTTGGTTTCCTTTGGCTCTTTCCAGTTCTTTGATGCGATCATTTGGTCTATTTGAAATTTGTAGGTAGCGTACCACAAGTCGCTCTACAGGTGGACTTTTCTTCTGTCTGGCATTTGCTGTTGCCCTGAGAGAGGAGTGATGCACCAAGATGTCAGCTGTGGAAGCACTCTCCTTCCCCCGCCTTGCATCTAGTGCGGAAACAGCCATATGGCGGCTGCTGTGCTGCTGTGCCCCCAAGGGTGCTTGCAATCAACAGAGTCAAAGGAAAAAAAGGCCTAATCCTTCTCTCTCTCAAGTCCAGGCTGTTAGGATTAAGAACAAATCCACTTTCTTGCAAGAGATTGAATCAAAGCAGCGCCTACAAAAATGTCACTTTCCCATCCATACTGTCTGTGGAAGAAAGAATTGCATCCACACCTAGCTATATACTCAGGAAGTGAAGAAACTTTGAAAAAGTGTGGTTGGACTCCACTGTTTCAAAAATATTATTCATTAGATTATTCAAAAATATCATTAGATTATTGAAATAAAAATGTAAAGTATGATGAAAAAAGTGGACTCAGTTTTGAAAATCTGGACATGTTCTGTTACATTTTCCTTCTTCCTCATGCAGTCCATCTATATATCTTCTGAGAATGATACATTTGCTTTCTCCTTTAAAAAGTTATGAAATAATTGATCTCTGGGTTTTATTAGTACGACTGCATCACTGCAGGAGGAAGTGGAGAGTCTGTGTTTCAGTTGAATGGACAGTGGTCAGTTCAAATGCAGAAGGGAAGAAAATGGGTAAGTTCTGAGTGGCCAAGAAAATGATGACATTTGAAGCAGTACTAATTCCTCAGTACAGTAGTCCATATGAAGTAGTATTATTTCCTCACTACAGAGGAAATGAGAGGACAGTAGTTATTGTAACCACGGATCATTACAGAAATGTGTAGTTCCCTTGCAGGAAAGAGCAGTGCATGTGGAAAGGAGCAGTTGGTCCCACTCTGATAGGCATGTGTTTGGCTGGGACACCTGCAGGGAACAAGCCAGGGTGTAGGTCTCACAGAAGTGTCATGGGCAGAAGCGTCATGTTGTCACGGATAGCAGCCTCTGCATGTTGCCTCTTTCCAAGCATTAATATATGAACTGGAACTTAAATGCTCAGGAAAAATCAAAGCACAGCAGACAAAAAGGGCAATGAACTCCTAGAATCATGGAATAGTAGAGTTGGAAGGAGCCAAGAAAGCCACTGGGTCCAACTATGCTCAATTCAGGGCTCCAAATTAAAGCAGGTGACTTAACAGGTGACTATCCAGCTGCACCTTGAATGCCTCCAGTGTGAGAGAGGCCACAACCTCCCTAGGTAATTGCTTCCATTGTCATATTGCTCTAACAGGTAAGTTTCCCTGATTTTCAGCTGGAAACCGGTTTCCTATAACTTGAGCCCATTATTTTGTGTCCTGTAGTCTGGGACAACTGAGAAGAGATCCTGGCTCTCCTCTGTGTGACAGCCTTTCAAGTATTTAAAGAATGGGGATGTGGTACAGATAGAGAAGAATCCACCTTTCCTCCTTCCTCTCTCCCTGCCAGAGTCTGGGGAAAAAATCACACTCAGGCTCCCAGAGCTCCCATATGCTCCTTCGGAAAAGCTGCTCTTCGCTCCAGAGGTGCAATGCCCCTGAAAAAAGGATTCAGTGTGGTAAAATATAAATATTTAGCTTGCAGAGGAATTTGTCATTTGATTTCAATCTGAAATGAGTATTTATTACAATATCAACTGGAGCCATATGGGAAGTCATAAGGTGTAGAGTCCAAATCACATGAACATGAACAAAGATGGTTAGATAATCCAATCTAATTCCATGCTAAGATCCTAGTGATTTTGTTAGAATTGTGCAACTCTGGACTACAGAAGACACTGATGTTTAAGACCCCTGGCCTCAGCTTCAACACCCCAACCCAGTTCCAAATTCTGTGTCCCAATCTGCTGAGTTCAAAGAATGCCCATGTGCTTGCTGGTATTGTATAACGCAGTCTTATGTTACCAATGAGGAAGCGCACAAGGTGACGCATCAGACTGAAATGCTGCACCCAGTCACTGGACTTCCACCAAGATTTCACCAGACAAAATCCATATGTTTTCAACCTTATATTTACCTGAAGGGTGTGTGTTTCTTTGACATCTTTGGACTATCTTATCCCAAATGCACAGGGCCAAGGGGAAATGTCAGTCCTATTGTCACCTCCCCTCCCTGCCTTCCAGTGCTGGCTAGAAGAATCCTAGAATCGTACACCATACAGTAGCAGAGTTGGAACGGGCCAGAGGGCCATTGGGTCCAACCCTCTGCTCTGTACAGGACTGCAAGTTAAACCATATGGCAGTCCAACTGCCTCCTGAATACCTCCAATGTGGGGGAGCCCACAACCTCCCCAGGTCATTGGTTCCATTGTTGTACTGCTCCCACAGTCTGGAAGTTCTTCCTGATGTTCAATTGGAATCTGGCTTCTTGGAACATGAGCCCATTATTCTGTGTCCTGCACTCTGGAATGATCAAGAAGAGATCCTGCCCTTCTGAGGTGAGTTGTAGCTTATTGTGGGCCTTGTGCATTCCACCATCCACATTTATGAATGGCTTTCTGAAGGTAACTAAGGAGAAACCTTGTTAGTAGAGTACTTGTTTTCTCTTTCTGTATAAAAAAGCAATGGTAACGTGGAGCCAGGGCTTACTTA